CATTTTCCTTGCTGGCCATTGTTTGAGCTACTTTACCCTACACTGACTCCACACTTCATTAGCTCCTGCTATCTGTGGCAGAGCTTAACCTCCTGGCTTCCCCCCTGCTTTCATCCTTTCTCATCCTCTTGTTGTTTCTTTGTCTGTTCGTTTTCTCTTAGCTGTCTCATATCTTTGTCTTTATTGTTCTACACTATACACCATCTGTTGTGCTGCTGCCTGCATGACTCATTCTGAAAACAATAAAAATCCTACTGCATTCCCAATCATTACACCAGGGAGCCAAAGAAGGTATGCCAAAATCTACATCAACAGCAGTCAAGCTAGGATCCTCATGGAATTCAGGTACATAATTTTTGTTTAAATCAGTATAAGTTAACTGCCAAATACATCTGAGAATCCTGCCAAAGCTTCATCACAACTCTAAGGAAAGGAGGCAGTTGTTTCCTGGGGCTGGATTTAAAAACACCTCTGAAGGGATGACCTGCAGGTTCTTAAGTTTCTTAGCAAGTAACATGAAAAACATTTTTTTCTGCACATAGAGTTACTGAGTGTTTTATGAGCATAGACAACATATGGTCTGTACACAATAGAACAAACTAAGAAAAATCTGTCATAAATATCAAGATTCATATACATAGTAGACAAGGCAATAAATATGAAAGGTCATAAACCCAGGGAAATGGAACATTCCATCAGACTTTCTTTAAAGGTACACAATGTACATTATGCTTAGAACCACTGCTAAATAACAATATTATTGACAAACTGTATTTGAATCATAGTTTGGTTTAATAGCCTAAGGAGGAATAATTTCAGATGTATGAAGAAGTTTTTTTCCTCTACTGTTTTAAAAGGCAGCAGACACAAAGTTACCGTAAATATTTTTTAGTCTCATCTAATACCTAGGCAAACCCAAGCTACACTTCACTGAGATCTATGGAGACAGACTTGTGCAAAGAGAAATAATGCTTGTAGTATATTGGATGTGTCTAAGGATTGTGTTTAACCACTGCTTGTTTACTAGACTGAACAAGCCTAATTTTACCTGCTTTGCATGGCTGCCTTTGTGCACCTACATTTGGAAAATAAATTACTTTTACTTAAACACTTTCAATAATATCTGAAGCTGACTAAGGAAATCCTTCCACCATTAGTATTTCCAGCATTGTCATTAGCTGCTACTCAATCTGTTCCAACCTTGACACCTTTAAATTTTACCTTTCTGCAGTTCCAATCCCCTGTTAAGCTGTTGCTTCCCCACTGGATGGCAGTCCCTGCAACGTTATTTGTTCTGGGAAGGAAAGTCCAGCTTTAAAGCAGCGAACTGAAATCTCAGACTGCTTTGTAGATGAATATGCACACAAAATGTTACAGCTCTGAGTATATTTGCATTATTTTTTATTTTTCTACAGTATAAATGTGTGAGGGATTTTTCTGTATGTGTCTTTCAGTCAAATTAATTTTCCAATTGAGACTTCAGGGCTTAAAACTGTGCAAGAGGGTAAGACTTCTGTGGATCAATCCAGCCAAAAATTTTTAAGCATTTTACACAGACTAGGTCATTAAAAAGTGAATGCATGTCTGTGTGTGTATATACACATGGACTTTATAAATAGCTCATAAAAAGGAAAAAATCTGGAGTTTTAAAGTCATATGAATTACACAGAACTACAGTGCTTACTTAGAAAGATTAAAAAAAAAATAAGGTTTCAGTGTTTTAATTGAACATCCACAGTACATCTGATGGTGGGGATGGAATTCAATGGCTAAAAGGAACAGATTATTTAAGATACAGTAGGTTTGCAGATCAGAACCACGTAGTACTGAAATTATGTCTGATGTTTTAAAATTAGAAGTCAAAGCCCAGATTGCAGAGGTAGAGAAAACCATATGGACTTTGCCAGGATTTCTGTGTATATGGCTTTAGAAAAATTCCTGGCAAAACCTTGGGTTCTCTGTGCTGGCATCTGTCTGGAAGTAAAAAGGTGAAAAAGTATTGATACAGCCCCCATAAAATACTTCAATCTCTAAGATGCATTTGCCTAGGTGGAATGGTTTTCACCCTAGTTTATTTTAAGGCAATAAGAGTCTGTTTCACTTGGATAGAAATTTCTGTAACAGCATATTACAAATAAGTCCTGTAGAGGTCTCTTCAAAAGTGAAAAAGAGAAAAATCAAAATAGGAAGAAGAATGTTTGCTTATCAGCACCTGCAGAAAAGACGCCTTTCAACACCCTGAGCATTTCAAAGCACTACTGTCACACAGGTGGCTGGTTTTGTGCATCTTTTAGAGGTGTCATGTTGAGATGGTAAAGTGACTAGCTTAAAGTTATGTAGCAGCTTAATCACTGTGCTAGGAATAAAATTAAGATCTAATTGTCAGTTCTGCATCGTACTAACAGCACTAGAGACTGTCAGCAGCAAGCATTCACTGAAGTTTTTTAATTTTTTTTTTTTAATTCTAGATAATTTCAGGGTAACAATGGCTTTTTAAATGCTTTTGTCAAAGGACACTTTCTGTAGAAAAAAAATTGCAGCAACATTTTATTGAAAGTTTAAGAACAGTATGTCCTGCTTACTGGTTTGTTGGCAAGCTCTGTCTCTTCTGTTTCCTGAAATGTAGACAGCGAGCTCATTCCTTCACCCTCCTTCACAACTCATATATTACTGGAATGGTTACTCCCAGATCTCTCCAATTAGTTCATTGTGCTAAACTTTCTCCCTTGATAAATTTTGAAAGGAACTCTGTCAGATTTTCACTTCTGTTAGCTTTTTTCTTGTGCTGCATATACTTCTGCTGAAATATCATGTTACTTTTTTCCAAGCACACCTCACTTTAAAACTGCCTCTGATCCTGTGATACCTTCAAAATTAGAGGACTGGAGTCGAGCTTGGTGCTTGGACCAGCCTGATGGTGCCCCTCCATCTCCCCCTGTTGCCCATCAATTTGCAAATTGCCCAAGGGCAATTTGTAAACTCCTTGGGACAAGGGCAGCCTCTATTTCTGTCACACCTTGTCCACGTTAAGAACTACTCAGCATTTTGGTTACACCCAGAGTAGATTTTGCATTAAATTTCATCGCGTGAAACCCTATCACCAAATTCCTAACAAACTGTACTTTCTGTCTGACTGAGGTTTCAGATTACTTTCTAAAGCTCTCTTTGCCACTTTTCCACAGTTTTCCACATCCGGCTTTCCTTTCCTTTTCCTCCACCCTCCTCCCCAGTTTTCTGCTTGCCGGGAAATGCTTGTGCCCTCATTAGTGTGGCCCATTTCTTTGCATTTTCAAGTCTTTTATTCAAACCCTGGGCCAGCAACTTTCTCCCTGCTTCTTCTGAGCTTTTCTGTGCCTGGGAGCATGCCCTGACACACCCTCCACTCCTGCCCAATCCTTTTCCATGCTGACGCAATGTGTTTCTTGGTCTGCTGCCTGTCCTGATATAACCTTATTCACTATCCCCACGTAGTCACATCCTCTCCCTTAGGAAGAGAGTGCTCTCCTCAGCTGGACAGGTCTTGCTATAATAATCTGCAGACCATGGGTAGATAATAAAGTATGTTACTTTTTATTGTACTTCAAGCTGACACCAAGGGCAGAAGCAAGTTCTGCAGAGAGTAGGGCAAACAGCCACATGGCAATGAAGCTACAGCAGCTCCAGTGCAGCTGGACTCATGCGTATTCTTTCTGAGTGCCTGTCCCATCAGAAGTGGTGAGGAGAAGGAAAAATTCTAGGAATTTGATGATTTAGTACTTTATTGCAGGGGAAGTAGGATATTCAGTTATTGTTGATTTTTTTACTTCCTATGCTGAGGAAAATGTCCCTAAATAAAAAATGTCTTACAGGGTTGGAAAGACCAGTCATCAATAGAGGATAAACTTGGAGTACAGTTCAAAATTTTGTTCCTGACTGAGATAGAAACTACTTTGTTGCTACCACACTGGCGCGGTGGGGAAAGGCCTTTGGAAGGGCTTTGGGAATGGGAAACTGAGAAAAGATTCATTTCTGTATTTCCCCACTGTTTTGAGGAAGTTTCACTTCTGTAACCCCCCTATTCCCCTCCCCTAAGTGATTCCCATTGGACTTGGCCCATGGGGTGATCGTGATGTGCCTGGGCTGGACACTGTCTCTATTGTTTAGACCTTATCTCTTAATTTTGCTGTATAAAAACTGTATCTGGGCAGCAGCCCAGGGTTGTTTGTCCCTGTGGCGTTCAGGCAATACAATCTCTCTGGACTGCACACAAACTGACCTCTCTTTGTCTCTTTATCCTGAATCCTTGCAGCGACCGAGGTGCGCCGCTGCTCGGACCGTACCAACCCAGCCGCTGCCTGGTAAGCCCAGGGCAGCAGGACCGTGGCAAACCCCGGTCCCCGGAGAGGACAGCTAGCCGGAGGGGTCCCGGGGGGCTGGGGAGGAACGGGGGACAGCCACAAGTGGCCCCCAAAAGCCGCAAGTGGCGCCCAATGTGGGGAGTCGTGCTGGTTTGAGTGGCCACACCGAGCTGCCGCGGGCAGCCCGCCAGCTAAAAGCTTTTCCGGACACTTTGCTATCTGTGTCACCGTGAGTGACAGAGCCGTGAGTGGTGCGAAGAAGCTGCCGCGCAAGCTGTCAGCTCCGCGGGGAGAAGCTTTCGGACCGCGCTGGTAGTGCGGGCGTTTACCTTGCCACACAGCTCGGCAGGACTGCTGCTGCGGAGACAGAGGCGCTGATTTCGGTCTGGTGAGGTTTTCGTGGATGCGGACGGCACTTTCCTAACACCCGGAAGACTGTTTGTGGAGACAGGCACCATTGCTGCAGTGTGTTTTCTGAAGAACAGTGGTGGGTAAGTCTTGGTACTGGCAGGAAAGGGTCCGGCCAGGAGACTGGAGGTAGGTTCCTGTGCTCCCAGGGTGAGACACACCAACGCGTGGGTGCGGCAGGAGTCTCCTCTGGGTCTTTAGAACTTTGGGGTTTTCGCTGCAGAGTGGTTGAGATTTTGCTGTGCAGCCAGCGATATGGGTGTTACGCTGACTACACAGCAGAAAGAGATTTATAAACAAGTTCAGGAGCCCCTGCAGAGAGCAGGTGCAAAAATTTCTAAGAGCCTTGTGAAACAGTTTGTCAGATGGTTATCAGTAAGTTTTCTGGAGGTAACAGAGCAAGATGTGAAAGACAGACAATTTTGGAAGCGTGTGGGTGCAGTGTTGAGTGAAAGGACAAAGGCAGGAGATCCCTCAGTGAAAGAAAGTTTTATTAGAATCTTTTTGTTGGTTTATGACATTGTGAAAGAAAGTGCAGACACTCAGGATGCTCAAGGAACAGAAAAAGGTCCGATTGCATCCCCTGTAACCTCCTGCATCCCCTGCTTTGAAAAAACTAATCGTGCAGATGTAGTTCCAGTTTTTAACCCTTCTCCATATCATGATTTCGTTCCCACAGCTCAGAATCCGTGCTTTTCCCCCTTTGCCCCCGCTGTGCAGCCACCACAAGATGGAGGCGGCCACGCCACAGTCCCTTCTTCATCCCAGAATTCCTTGCTCCCCGTGCCAGCCCAAAACACACCCCCAGCCCTCGTATTCCTCCCTTTGCCCATCCCCAATCTCAACCCCTCCTCCCTTGCAGTGGTTCACCCCACAGCTCCTCCCCTCGCAGTTGCACCACCACCCCTTGCCCCTGCCCCGCTCCACACGGCATTGCTAGCTGCGGCCACTCCCACACAAGGCACCCCTCCTCTTCCTGGGTCCCACAGCAATGGCAGAGGTGGTGCTGTCAGCTCTGGGAAACAGAAACTGGTCAGAAATGCCGATCCCTTGTTCATGGTTATTTACAATGCGAGAGGACAGAACCCTAGGTGGGAGCCCCTTTCTTACGAGAGTATTAGGGAGCTCTGCAAAGCAAAACATGAATTTGGGGAAAGGAGCGAATTTTTTAAGAGCATTTTAAAAGCTACTCTAGGTTCCAAAACACTTGTCCCTGCTGAATTGAGACATCTTTTTAACTGTTTGCTCTCTCAATCTGAGTTTAAAATGTGGGAACGAACTTGGAAAAGGTTGGCAGGAGACCAGCTTCCAGAGATTTTGCAGAGTCCAACCTATTCCACAGATATAGAAGATGAAGAGATCACTTTAGAACATCTAGTGGGTGAGGGTGATTGGAGCCAAGCTGAAAAGCAAGCAGCAGGCATTCCCAGAGCAGTGTTGGACCTGTCCAGGGATGCCGCAGAACGTGCATTTTTTAACATGCCTTCTAAAGAACCTGTTGTTTCTTATATTGTTTTGAAGCAGTCTGTTACAGAGCCATTCATGGATTTTGTTGATCGAGTGAGAGCTTCGGTTGAGAAAAGGGTGCAAAATCCAGAGATCCAAGATCAGCTCACACTAGAAATTGTCACCACAAATGCAAATGAAGCCTGTCAGCGAGTCATCCTGGCCCTTCCAGCATCACCTCCACCCACACTCGATCAGCTTATTGAGGAATGCACGAGGAAAGCCACACTAATGACCGAGGACTTGGTGATAAAACCATGGGAAAAGGTGGTTGCAGAAGCAATGGCAACCCCAAAAACACGAAGGGTTGCAAGGCCTCCTGCACCCAAACGCCGATGCTATTTCTGTAACCAAGAGGGACATCTCATAGGCCAGTGCCCCCTTCGAGGGACAGTGCCTTCACAAGGGGGGCAAGTGGGAGCAGGGGAAATCTCCAACCAGCAAAAAAACTGATTGGGGAGTGTGGTCCTATCCCACATGATGACACAAATGGGGTGGGCCAGGGCATTGTAGCCAGAGCTGCTGTTCACCACATTGTACCTAGTGTCAGCAGCCAAGCTTATACCACTGACAAGACTGAACCTTACTGATTGAGACTCACTAAACCTGTTCATTTTTCTAATCAGGACTGGCATTTCATCACAGCTACAGCAGAGCTGCTGCCCCGCATTTGAGACTGCGAAACTTGCAGATGGAATGATCTACTAAACTGCAAGTACCTTGTCATCTGGGACATGAAGTACACTCTAAAGGAGATAGGAAATCCCCCCTGGCATCGTTTCACTCAATCTCAGGACCTTCTATCTCATGGCACGCTGTGTCCACCTCCCTCTCTTCCTGGTGGAGAGACAGATCATTGCGCAGGCCATTCCAGTGCCCCATCTTTTGTGTGATGATCAGGCCCTCTCAGTCTTTTACACCGAGACACTGGGAGAGGAGAAACCCCTCGTGTGGTGTGGCCTCCAGAGTGAGGGCCATTCTGTTCTCCTTTAGGGGATGATGGACACAGGGGCAGATGTGACAGTCATTCCCCCTCACAAATGGCCAAAGCAATGGAAGTTGGAAAATGTAGGCCACCCTGTTGTAGGTGTGGGAGGTCCAAAAGTGGCACAACAATCCAAAAATGTGACCCAAATCAAGGGGCCAAATGGGCAATTAGCATCTCTACGCCCATTTGTTCTGGACTCAAAATTCACCCTCTGGGGGAGAGATGCCATGTCCCAATGGGGGGCAAAGTTAGAGTTACCAGGCCCCCAGGATTTTTAGGTGCAGCCACTGAGGAGCGCCCTACCCAAAAACTTAAGTGGCTCACAGATAACCCGTGTGGGTAGACCAGTGCCGCTGACTACAGAAAAGACGAGAGCACTCACTCAAATTGTAAAGGAGGAATTGGCAAAGGGACATATAGTAGAAACCCAGAGCCCTTGGAATTCTCCAGCGTTCATTATTAAGAAACTGGGGAAGGACAAGTGGTGGCTCCTCCACAATCTGAGAAAAATTTATAACGTCATTGAGGACATGGGATCTCTTTGACCAGGGATGCCTTCCCCATCTATGCTCCCCCAAAACTGGAAATTGTCAGTGCTTGATGTCAAGGACTGCTTCTTTCAAATTCCCCTACACCCAGTTGATGCACCAGGCCTTGCCTTCTCTGAGCCCTCTCTTAATAGAGTGGCTCCCCATGAAATACTACCATTGGACAGCTCTTCCTCAGGGTCTCAAATGCTCTCCCACCATCTGTCAGTGGTATGTGGCCAGAATTCTGTCCCCAGTCCGTGCCAAGTGGAAAGATTGCATTTTATATCATTGCATGGATGATCTCTGTGTCTGTGCCAACAGTGACAACGTACTTGCAGAGGCATTAGAGGACATTATCACAGCCTTGTCGGCGGTTGGATTTGAGTTGCAGAAGGAAGAAGTGCGGCACCTGCCGCCTTGGAAGTATCTGGGCCTTGAAATTGGTAACAGAACCATCACACCCCAGAGACCGACGATAAATGATGATCCCAAAACATTAAGAGACCTCCACCAGCTTTGTGGGTCTCTCAGTTGGATCAGACCCACCCTGGCTGGGGCTCACCACAGGAGAGCTGTCCCCCATCTTCAATTTATTGGGGGGGGGAAGAGTTAGACTCCCCGAGGGCCCTAACCCAGGATGCCAGGGCTGCTTTGGAGAAAATCCAGTCCACCTTGGCAGACAGACAGGCCCACAGGTGTCGTGAGGGCCTGCCCTTCTGATTCATCATCCTTGGTAAGTTGCCACACCTCCGTGGGTTGATCTTTCAATGGGACACAGACCAACAGGATCCCCTCTTAATCATAGAGTGGGTGTTCATCAGTTGTCCAAAAGTATCACCAAGCCACAAGAGCTGGTGGCCCAGCTGATCATGGGGGCCAGAGCTCGTTTGCAGGTGTTGGCAGGGTGTGACTTGGCATGCATTCATCTCCCTATCAGAATATCCACAGGGAGACTCTCAAAGGAAATACTCGAGCACTTGTTTCAGACCAATGAAAACTTGCAATTCTCCCTAGACAGTTTCACTGGACAAATTTTCATCAACCATCCAGGCCACAGATTGTTTGAAACACAGTTTCGTTTGATTCCAAAAAGTATCCAGAGCAGTGAACCACTGAAAGCACTGACAGTTTTCACAGACGCGTTGGGAGGGTCCCACAAATCTGTGATCACATCTAAAGACCCCCAGAGTCAGCAGTGGGAAGCTGATGTAAATGTTGTGGAGGACTCCCCACAGGTTGCTGAGCTGGACGCTTGTATCAGGGCCTTTGAGAGGTTTTCAGAACCAATTAATATAGTTACAGATTCGGCATATGTGGCAGGTGTGGTGTCCAGGGCAGAATATGCAGTGCTCAAGGAGGTTTCCAACCCAGTGATATTCAGTTTGCTCTTGAAACTAATCCATCTGGTTTCACACCGAGAGCAGCCCTTTTTTGTAATGCATGTGAGATCACACACTGATCTCCCAGGTTTTATAGCAGAAGGTAACCGCAGGGCAGATGCACTGGCCACCCCCCTGCAGCTGGTTGGCCAACCAAACATCCTCCAACAGTCCAAGGTAAGCCATCAATTGTTTCATCAGAATGCCCCAGGACTGGTCCGCCAATTCCAACTGCGGCATGACCAGGCCAAGGCAATTGTGGCTGCTTGTCCCCAGTGTCAGGAGTCCACTTTACCAACTGTGAGTTCAGGAGTTTACCCGTGGGGACTCCGCAGTTGTGAAGTGTGGCAAATTGACATTACACATATGAGTATATGAGGAGTTCGGGAGGTTCCAACATATGTATGTTTCAGTAGATATTTTCTCCGGAGCAGTCTTCGCCTCAGCCCACATTGGACAGAAAGCTGCAGATGCCAAAAAACATCTTATGCAGGCATTTGCGACCTTGGGGGTCCCCACTACCATCAAAACAGATAATGGCCCAGCTTATATTTCCAGAGCGTTTGGTGAGTTTGTACAAGAGTGGGGAGTGAACCATTGGACGGGAATTGCACACTCCCCCACCGGCCAGGCTGTGATAGAAAGAATACATCAGACTTTAAAAAAGGTCCTCTTTGCCAGCGGGGAGATATTCAGGCCATGCCTCCACAAATGAGGCTCTGCAAAGCCCTTTTCACCATTAACTTCTTAAATTGTTCTTTTGATAGGCCTGAACCCCCAGTCCTGTGTCATTTTAAACAACATCAGCAGCTCAGACCTGAAGAGAGACCTCCAGTGTTAATTAGGGATCCAGACTGTGGAGAGATCCAGGGTCAACACCAGCTTATCATTTGGGGACAGGGGTATGCGTGCGTGTCCACATCCTCCGGACTCAGGTGGATTCCTAAGAAATGGGTCAGACCATATACTGCTGAACAGGGAGTGAGTCCACCACAGAGTGACCCCCCTGAGGCTCAGGGGAATCCCACAGAGAACACAATTGCGTCAAACACAAAATGCCGCAAGGAAGGAGGAGACCCCTAATTCCTGTTTTCCTTTCTACTGGCAGAGCAAAGTGTATCTTTTTCAGAGTTAGTTTACCTTGTTGTATGATTTTATCTTTCAGATTAGCAGAATGTCAGTTTCCACATTCCTGCTCATAGTTTGGTTCCAGAAAATGGCTATCTACTCATTCACGGTGGACATGTGGATTGTTCCACAGCCCAAGAAAAATGTGTGGGTCACACTCACCCAAGCCTTGAAACAAGATCACATGTGTTTATCTACTGCCTCAGCAGAAAATCCAATGTACACATGTTTAGTAGGGGTTCTGAGCAAGGGAGTTCCCAATCAGTCTGGTCTGCTTGCAAAAGCAGGTGAATAAGCAGGTGAATGAAAATAAAACACCTGATTCATGGGCAGAGTTCTGTAGGCACCAAGGAATCGTAGAACAATTTAAAATACCGTTGCAAAACCCCCTCATTTTGTGGCAAAGATGGGTCCTACACTTGCCCACTGCCGAGGGAGAGCCCCAGGAATTAGAACTACTGGGCTCTGCAAAAGCTGAATATTGAATTCAATTTGATTTTTCCCCAACCAAAGAGATAAAAAACTATATGAGCAGGTCAAACAGTACAAGGTAGAATTCAGAGTGGGTCAGTGGTGCACAGCTGTCTATAAGCTGAGGCTTGCAACCACCACTGATTTCCTTCCCTGCAAGCTGGACAAGGGAGTGTTTCATATCTGTGGGAACAGAGCATACCCAGGCATCCCCTCTTGTCTTATCGGAGGTCCATGCACATTTGGGCATCTGACCCTTGCTTCCCCCAACATGACCCAAATTCCAATTGGGCAAGCAAAAGGGGAAACAAAAATTACTAAGCGGAAGTGCAGGTCAATTTGATGAACATTGTGATACAGAAATTTACCATTGGGCAAAATCCAAAAGAGTTGCTGTCTCTGTGTTTTTACCATGGGTTGTGGCAGCCAAAGCATTGAGTGAATTAGGCAATCTAGAATGCTGGGTGACGAAGCAGGCAAATTTAACATCAGCAGCCCTGAGTGACCTCCTAGAAGATAAGGAAATAACCAGAAAGGCTACCCTCCAAAATCGGGCAGCTATTGATTTCCTGCTGTTGGCACGTGGGCATGGATGCAAAGAGTTTGAAGGGTTGTGTTGTTTTGATCTATCATCTAAAGGCCAGAGTGTCCACTTGTCCATTCAGGAAATGAGAAACCTCACTGGGAGTGTGAAACAGGAAAATGAGGATTGGTTTAGGGACCTGTTCAAAGACTGGGACCTTTCTGGGTGGGTAGTGTCTCTTTTAAAAGACATCTTTTACTTTCTGGTTGCACTGTTTTTAGTTATGTTAGCATTTGGGATTCTTAAGCGAATCATTTCCATGGTCACCACCTCCAAGTCCAAGGCCTCTGCACCTGTTTTCGTTGCTGCTGCCATCACAGAAAGCAATTGGTGGGAAGATGACAAGCAGAACGATACCACATTTTGAGAGACAT